TACGGACTCGTTTTTCATGCATTCAGGCTTAATCGTGTTTTTTTTTAGAAACCGACTGTGTACTATTAATGATAGTAATAATATTTTCCAAATAAACTAAAGACAAAGCCTGCAGCATTTCTGCAGTAGCACTAGCTAGCTAACGCAGGAGTTGTGTTGTAGAAGTTTAGGAAATCTCATCAACATTTAAAGTGCGGTTTCTGGATGAATAGTTCCGTGGATACTAGCATGACCAAGGAAAACCGGTGGGACATACCCCCCAATGCTCCAGCGTGCATGGAGAGGCACCTGTGCGCGGCACAATACAGAGCAGGTAGGGAAAAGGAGCGCTAGCTGAAGGTTAACGTGTAAACACGTGGAGCCGCTAGTTGGTTATTATTAGTGTGTTTACATTTGTGCTAAACTGTTCAAGTCCTACGTTGGAAATGTTAAATAAATAACATTTTATGTTGAATACTAGTCAGAGTAATCTTAACTGGCAGGCGATGAATGAAAATATAGATATTTGAAGGGTTTTCTCGTTGGGTTTTCTCCACAGATGGCACCCTGCTACTTGGTGCCTCCAGCCTCTCTGGCAGAAGCTGGCAGGGATCTGTTTGGATCTACAGCGACCCTGACCAGGCCCCCAGTGAGGGATTCTGCAAAGCTGGTGTGCAGACTGAGGCTGGTGTCACAGATGTCAAATGGGTGTCAGAGAAGGGAATTATTGTTGCGTCAGATTCAGGTAATGAAATGTTTTTTATGGCAGATGAATCAAGCACACACTTGAGGCTTGTATGAAACTGGCCTCATTTTTCTGTGCAGGTGCCTTGGAGCTCTGGGAACTAGCAGAGGATGAATGTCTACTGGTTAATCGCTTTACCAAGCATGATCATGACCATATTGTCACCACAGTAAGCCCCGTGGTTGGAGCAACCGCTGCAGTCACTGGCAGCATGGACTGCAGGTTAGACTTGTTTTACATGAACATACATACACCATTCCACCTGTCACAACAGAGCAGAAGCAATGTTAATTGCTTTTGTTTCAAACTTTGGCTTAATACATTTTTGAGTTGTCATCCCTTAAAGTGCATCTTTGCTTATTATTACAGAATTAAAGTCTGGGATCTAAGTCAGGAAACGGTTGTCACTACCTACAATGGTAAGCATCATCTTAACAGTTCTTCATACAGAAATGCACAAAACTTACAAAAATGCTTTTTTCCCCTCAATGTGGAAAAAGAAAAGAATGTTTATTATTGGTAGCATTCCTGTATGTATAGATTTTAGATTAATTAATTTACCAAGGGTTTTTTTTCTATTGCTGACATTACCAGACTATCCCAGTGTCATATTCCTATTGACTCTTTGGAACGATTAATTGCTGAAGGAAAGTTTTATATTAAAATGGTTTTAAAAAGCCAAAAATGTCATAAATGTCATTGATATGAAAAGTTTAACTCAACAGTTCTTGGTTTTTTTCTTCCGCCAGTGCACACACAGCCAGTCACTTGTGTTGCCTGCAGTCCTACAGATGAGTCTCTGTTTCTCTCCTGTAGCCAAGTAAGATACTAATCAGCATGTTGTTTGCATTTTTGTCAGTGAGGTTTATTTTTTGGACCACAGAGCTGCAATCATTCAGATAAACTCAACTACTTCTTCTTCTCACCCCTTCTTTAGGACGGCCGTGTGTTGTTGTGGGACAGGAGGAAGCCCAACAAACCTGCATCAAGAATAGGTAAGCTACGTCACCAAGCTTTGATAACCACTTTTGCCAAACACTACTTCAAGAATAGTCGAGATTTGGAAGAGCTCCACAGGAAATGAAGTATGACAGAGAGTAAAATTTGTTCCAAAACAAACAGTTATGTTTACATATTTATGCCAGTACACACACTATGCAGCAGTCATTCACTCTGAAAATGTATATGTGCTAAAATAGGAGTATATACTAATACCTAGCAGGTAAAGACTATTGCACCTGCAATGGAGTTGATTCCTCCAAATACGCAGCCATTACCAAAGTAATCAATCCAAATCCAGAGCCTTAACTTTTCCCCCACATTTGGAGACTTTATCTGTCCTCCGAATGATGGATTTTGACACCTCCAAACCCATAAAGATGTGATTTCAGGACCATTATAGTAGTTTTCAGGTTTGTCCAGGAGTGGCTGCATAGGCAGAAACCACCCTCACTAACTTTAGATCCAGATCCCATCATTTAGTACTATAAGCAGGCCTGAAACATGACAGAAACCTCTCAGTTCACAAAAGAGCTTTAAGGGTTACTTTCAAGGGGTAAAGAGTTATATAGAGTGCCTAATTACCTAATTAGCTACCTAGTGTTTGATTTTTGTCTGGATGATTAAAGAAGGAATTTGTCTTATTGTTCCTGGAATCTGTTTATAGGCTCTCTTGGAAATATGTCAGTGTCATTACTTACACAGAATGTCCTGTGTAAGTAATGACACTGACATATTTCCAAGAGAGCCTATAAACAGATGGCAAGCGCATTCTCAGTTTCTGTTTTTGTTTTGCCTCAGATGTAGAGTCACCTAGCTGCTCCCCTACTTCTCTAGCTTGGCACCCTCACCACAGAAGCACCATTGCTTTTGGTAAGACGCTGCACTTGGTCACATTTGATTAAAAGCTGAGTTTAATTGAGAAAAAGTTGATTTCCTTTTTTTTTCTTTCACTCTCATCGTGTCTCAGGCGATGAGCTCGGCAGGGTGACTGTGAAAGATTTCCTGGGATCGGAGCCGTCTCAGGTGGAGAACGTTCACAGCCGTAGAGTTAATGGGCTGGCCTTCTCCACACACAGGTAAATGTAAAGTGTGTCACGATCTCACCTTTGGCTTTATTGCTCTTTTACAAAATTCTGACGTCTTCCTTTTCTTCCCAGCACACCCTTGCTAGCCTCTGTTAGTGATGACTGTAGCGTTGCTGTTATGGACTCTGAACTGCGAGAAATGTGAGTGCTTGTACTTCATGCTGAAAGCATTTAGTTTGTTGTATTATTAAAAACACTAATCACATATTTGTTTGTAGACTCCGAGACCGGCGGCACCAGGACTATGTCAAAGGTGTGAGCTGGCTTCACAATGGCTCCTCCACCCTCACAACAGTAGGCTGGGATCATCTTGTGCTTCACCATAAAGTGGGTCCAGCTGATGGCATTCCCAGTTCCTCTTCTTAGACCGATCAGTTGGAAATGCACTGAAGGAAAGCACTGTTTTCCCCTCACTACTCTCCCCTCATTCCTGAGGTGTCATTTTGCAGAAATGAAAATCTATTGAAAGCTCTCACCTTAATTTAGCCCCCAAAAACTGCACAATATTGGGAATTCTGCTCTCCTAGTCGTGGTTTTTGTGCATTACTAACATAGAGAGCATAAAATGGACCTAGTTACATAGTGATGAGCGTTTCTGCTGTCCCCATCTTGGTTGTAAAAAATGGACATTCTACAGAGGGGCCGGTCTGATCTAAAAGGCTTAGTCATTGGCTAGTGACGCGATTGACACGTCGTTAGCCACTAAGTGAGCTATTGAAGGGTATAGGAGGAATTCTGTAGGAGAGTCTTTTTGCAACTGCAGCTTTCGCCCTTAGGTGGTCTTCACATCAAATGTAGGCTTATAGCACTTTGACTTCATTTGATTAATTTTTCTGACCAGATAGCTGCGTCCATATTTTTATTCTCTCTATGACTACTAATCACATCACAGCCTCACTATCCACTTCTTTCATACTGTATAGTTTGTCTTTGTGTAACTGCATCAAAGCAGCACATTTGTATTGCAGAATTTTACATTAAAGGTAACTTAATGTTATCAGTGGCATCATTTGGTGTGTTCTTTGTGTTTACTGAGATCAGATATGATAAACTGTTACTACTGTGAGGTAGTGGGAATAAGAGGAGTTTTCAAGGATACACAAAGTGCAGTCAATAAGTTCCTCTTCCCCGAAAAGCCATAAACCTCAACCCCCTCCTTCAAGGTCATGTCCTTATGCACCTCTGCACTGCTTCCAGCACTGCAGCTATTTTGGAGTTGATACTTGGAATTCCTGTTAGGCTTTTAACTTGGAAATTCATTTTGTGGAAAAGGACAATAGTAGAAGGAAATGCAACTTGGTTGTGAGTGAAAGTTTTTTATTTGAAAAGAATGCTTACCCTGTTAAACCTCAGGATGTTACAGTACAACTGTGCACTGACAGTGATGGTGTTTTACCCAGTAAATATAGGGGGGGGGAAACAGGACAAAAATGCTCGACCTCAGACCAACCACTCTTAAATCTTCCAGATCAAGAATGGTTCGCTTTGACGCAGAAGACATTTCAACACATGGGGTGGGACTTCAGTGAAGCCATCTAAAAATAAAAATAAATAGCAGAAGCAATGGCAGCCCCGGAGAAGCGATGAAGGAAACCATCTTGAGTAGCATAGTAGCTAAATTGAGTATGTTTCTTATTTTATTGGTGGAACTTTTTGATCACATGCCCTGTAAATATAAACCACTGTGTTGGTAAGGATGTGGCTGACGCAGACCCCAGTCATTCACTAACAGTGTCAATGTGAGGTCTGATGTAGATAATAATGATCTATAACTTTTGATACATTTAAGGCCTTTCATGGAGGTCTGATGAATTACATGTGCCTTGATGTGTTTTGGTTATTTGCGTCAACAACCACAAAAAACGCCTAATAATTAAATCTAAATTTCTTCGTTAGCAGAATCTTGGAATTATTTGGAATTAATTGCGTGATGCTATTTGGGACAATTCTTAGGAGGGAAAAAAAAACTTAAACCAGTTCTTCAGCTAGCTTATATCTTACTTTAATACAAAAAAATCTGTTTGCACACAAGCTCCTACATGATCTGGAGTTGGCACACAGGTTCTTCATGGGGCCCTGACAATTCTTGTTTATATAAAATATTATGAGGTCATCATGTTGCCTAGCAGCCACCTGACAATGTGGCACAATGACACATTTGTAGCTTTTATGCACCTACAAGAGCCTTATAAAAGTATTGTATCATTTTAATTTCACAACAGTAACACATAATTTATATCCCAAAAACTAAGCATGACATATTACGATGATGTCACACTGTCTAGCAACCACCTAACAACAAACTAAAGCCACAAACTAAACAATACTGCACCCTGGGAATTTACCAGTATATTAAATCTGCACTTACATTCTGAGCCACAGCTAAAAGCTTTAATTACTAGGATGATGCAAATCACTGCAGTGTTTTTACATACAATTGAGTACACATGCAAGCCATGTGTACTCAGCAATTTGTTACATTTATTTCCTACTTAGAGTTGAATGTCTTAATTTGATGACTTTCTATATACAACTTTAACATGTACATATAACTACATCTTGCAATGTCCAAATGCGATTTTCATATTATACAAATTGATATCTCCATCAATAACAATGTATACGTAACTAGATTAACACTCTTTATCGTAGTAGTATAGAAAATCCAATACAAACCATAAAGGATTTTTTGGGATAAATGTGAGAATCACACTAGACCCCTACTACTTTGCGCCATAAGACTTTCATAATCGAGATGTAACAGTGAAAGAACATTTCCCATTATTTGGCAGGTAATTACAGCATGAAATAATAACAGTTATGCTCCAAATTACTATATTTTACAATTAAAATTTCTCATTGTTTTATAAAAGACTTTTAAAAAACTTAACTTTTTTTATTTGAATATTAATGGAGTTTTCCTATACAATAACATTACCCAAAGCTATGGTTAAAAAGTCAACATATAGCAAAATATAGCTTAAGACTAAATAATTAGCAGCAACTACACAAATGTTTAAAACGTTCTTTCTGACTGTGACACAATGGAAAAGAAAACACCATTTGACAGTGACTGTGTAGTGTTTGTCTTTATGATTCGGCAGTCCTTTGTCAACAGGCATTCTTAACATATTTGCTACCCAGTGTGTAAATAACCTGTGTGAAGCCTTCTTTTTCAGCTGTGGTCCACGCTGCTGCTGATAAAAGTGTAGTTTCACACACGTTGTGTCCCATAGTCTGTGTTGAAGGTCTCAACATGTCCAAGAATCGAAAGACCCTATAATAATCTCCGCTACTCATGATAAGTAATAGGATTTTTGGTTCCAGGCCGAACTGTGAAAGTCATACCATGTTGATATTTAGACTTCGGCCCATTGCTGAAAAGAAGAACATTTTATGTATGAATATATTAGCCAACCAGTGAGTTTTGGCATCTTAAAAAGTCAATGTGTGACATTTGAGCATGACAGTCTTACCTGGTCAAAGCTTTTGTTGGCGAGTTATCTGGATATTTTTTGTTCACTTTACGCTGCAGCTCCCTCATGTCCAGAGTTGCTGCTTTCTGGTGATATTTGGTAGTTGGTGATTTGAGCTGGTCATTGGACTCCCATTCATCAGAGGAAGGCTCTACATCTTCCTTTTGGTGGGAAATTTTGGGGGCCATTTCCTCCAGCTTCTTTTTTAGGATGCACTGGAGATCAAAATGTCTTTGTTCCAGAGTGCGTGCTGGCTGAGTGGAGTCTGGCTTGGGTTTTGTCTGGACTTGTGTCTTTGGTTGGACATTAGGAGGTGGGTGGTTCAGAGGAGGAGGAGGTGGAATTGAAGCTGGAGGTGCTGTATTCAGAGGAGGAGGTGGAACTGAAGCTGGAGGTGCTGTCTTCAGAGGAGGAGGTGGAATTGAAGCTGGAGGTGCTGTCTTCAGAGGAGGAGGTGGAATTGAAGCTGAAGGTGCTGTATTCAGAGGAGGAGGTGGAATTGAAGAGGGAGGTGCTGTATTCAGAGGAGGAGGTGGAATTGAAGCTGAAGGTGCTGTCTTCAGAGGAGGAGGTGGAATGGAAGCTGTAGGTGCTGTCTTCAGAGGAGGAGGTGGCACTGAAGAGGGAGGACCTGCAGAGGGTTGTGTCTTATTCAAAGGATACTGAACTGAGGCAGGGGAAAGAGAGGTTACAGGTGGTGACGGTGCCTTTTTTGTGGGAGGGTCCGGTGGAATGATGGAAGGTGGCAGGTCCATAATCTTGCTTAAATCATCAAACTCTGGTGGTGGAGGCAGTAATGGCATGCTGAACCCATCTTTATTGCCCTCAGGTTGTGGAGTCTGAGACAGTGAGCTGCTTTGATATGCCTTTTGTCTCTCCTCTGCTTTTTTGCTAACAGCAGGGGTTTCTATGATCCTGTTGAGAGCTGGACTGGTAGATGGTGCCTGACCATTGACCAGGGCATGACTGCTTGAAGTTTCAGGAGCATCATTTGTTTGTGGACGGTCTACTGGACTGAAGGATTTTGGAGTCTCCTGTAATATTTTTTCTGTCAGTTTTACAGTTGAAGAGCCAGAACTTGAAAGGTCACTTGAGTGAATACTTGGCTGCTCACTGTTCTTTCCACTGTTTTCCTGTGAAACAGAGTGCGTCGTTCTGTTTTTCTCTCTTTCTTTAGCTGCCTTTAGAAGAGCCAGCGGAGAAGCTGCATGCCCGTCTCGTGCTCCGTGGGTTTCACTTCCTTTCAGGTTACGTAGTTTGTGATCCAATATCGGACTGTATTTCTGGTTTGGATTTTGATACCGTACAGGTTTGACTGGGGTTGGACTTTGGTACTCTCCAGGTTTGACTGGGGCTGGACTTTGGTACTCTCCAGGTTTGACTGGGGCTGGACTTTGGTACTCTCTAGGATTTTCTGCTTTTGGACTTTCTGCTTTTGGACCTTGGTTCTCTCCAAGTTTGTCCTTGCTTGTCTCTAAATTAATCTGAGTATTGTCAACTTCATCAAGCTGTAGAGACTTCTGAGGCGGTGGCTGTACTGGTTTGGTTATTTCTGGTTGCACTGAAATTGTCTCTGTTTTAGCCTTTGTCTTAGTCTCTGTCTTAGTCACTGTCTTTTGCTCAAATAGGGTAGATTCAGAAGGTTGGGCAACTTGTAAATTCTCCTCCAGCTCCTTTACAATGGGAACTGGTTTAGATAGTGTAGGCACTTTGGGAGCATTACCGTCCACCTTGACGAGAACAGGGCCAGAGCTGGAAGACCCGGAATCTTCCAGGAGTAACATGTGCTTAGGTTTTTTGTCACGGTCTTCAAACACATTGAGAAATGAGGTCTTAGGAGCAGTGTTAACCTTTGCTGTGTTTTGGGGATTGAAAGTGGACAATGTGGGTGTCTGCACAGGGGGTGGTGGTGCAGGAGTCTGTGGGGGGGAGTCAGAGTTGGAGACTGAGGAAATTCTAATGGGCTTTGGAGGAGGTTTCTTCTGAGTCTTCTGTTGCCTTTCAGTAGGGGGCTGTGGGGCGGCAAATTTTGGATGCTCTGGAACTTGAGCTGATGGTGGACTAGAGATGGGTATGGATGATGGAGAGCCAGTAGAAGTGGTAGATAGAGGCTTTGGTGGAGCCATTGGTGGTGGTTTTAGGAAGGATAAATCCTTTGGTTCTACTGAAGGAGGGTTTGGTGCGGGCATGGAAGGAGGCTGTATGGTTGCTAGGTCTAGAGTGTTTAAGTCACCCAGGAAGTCTGGTGGAGGTGGAATCCATTCACTTGGAGGTGGTGGAGGTGCTACAGAAGGAGGAGGAGGAACAAATATTTCCCCTTTATCAAGGTTAGGCACTGAAGTAATGGAGCCATTGGACAACGGATCCCAACCAACTGTGGATGAGAAGACAGGACAAATGAGAAAGGTTTTTGCAGAAACAGACACAGTATTCAAATATGCAAACTTGCTGCATAAATAAGAGACTAAAATTGAAATCCGTCTGTTTCATTTAAAGAGTGCAATTCATTTGTGCATATAATATGCAATAATAAGAATATTATTAAAGAGGCAGAAACGATTATAAAGAATAAGAAAATTCTTTATAAAGCTTTAAATTCAGCTTTCTTACATAAATTTAGAATTGTTAAAAAAGGAAATAAAAGAAGTAAATGGTTTCCACTTATTATTGAGAATGCTAACACTCCCATTATGTAAATATATTTGGCATCTGGTATGACCGTTTGGACATTTTCAGGGGGAGTTATTGAGCAATGCCCGAGCAAACATTAACCTGCCCTCCTTTTTTTCCTCTTTATTTTGATTGCTGTGATCCATCAACCGAGTCTGAGCAAAAGCCCCACAAGTTATGTGGACTTTTTAGGGTCTAATTAATGGGATTCTTGCCTTTTAGTCAAGTTAAACCTAAAGTACATATTGGAAGGTAGCTAGATGCTCACCTGAACCGTTGGTCTTTGGACCATTGACAGGGGGCAGGAGAGGGACTTTCGGCATTGGGACAGCAAAGCCTTGGAAACTCTCAGACAAGGACTGCGAGGGAAGAAAATTAAACACCATCAGACTTGATTTTTCAAACCTCTTAACACAAGAGACAAAGATCAACAGTAAAATTGAGATAAAGCTATATACTGTAGCCTGTATGTACAGAGATTTTTGTCTGGCAAGTATTTGGTCTTGAGGTGCACAAACCAGTTCTCAACTATATCAGCTCTCAGTGTTCCTTGAAAACAGGTTGGCCTGTCCAATGCTTGCAGCATTTTTGGCCTCAGCAGAACTGAAGTAGCTGCCAAAATCATTTCAATGTGCTGTTACGTGAAAATTCTATGATGGTGGTTTACGGTGCCTTATGTTCACAAAATTAAGTACTAAATATGTCAGACTGCTTTGCAGCAACTTAGGTACATGTCTAACCTTTAGGCTTCTTCAACATAAAACAGCTAGAGGTTTAAAAAAATAAAAGAAAACACGTTTGCATACTTGAGTGATGAGAAATATTTGGTGAATCAGAGGATACACCTATTATTCATCACATTGTCTAAGATGGGCCTGGCTGAGAAAACTGCGTGTTACTTAGATACATGGGTGTTTTATGTTGTAGGCAAGAGGGGCAAAATAGAGGAAGAGTTATGGAAAGTACGTTGCTGTTCTCTCTACGACACCAAATAAATAGAGACTGTGTTGACACAATACAAATCTAAGAAACTTGGAAAGTTATATGTCCTTCAAATGGGCAGATATTCAGTCCAGGAATACATAACAGCTGTATCCTTTTGATCTTAGTCTGCTGCAGACCATTTGAGGAGGAAAGCAACAAGGAAATTTTTAACTGGACTCAATTTATGCCCTAAGAGCTCCCCTTATACCACGTTTCAGCCATGCTGATTGTATGCAGTAATGAATTAAATCAGCATCAATAGATAAGAATAAAAATCTTCAGTTTCAGGCAGCTGCTGTCCTAAAAGATATATCACACCTTGAATAACACCCTCTTTTGCTAATAATCCCAGTTGCGTAGCTATTTGGAAAGGTATGAAAACTGCATCACGGAGCGAGGGCGTGCCATTAAAGACAGCGTATGATCCAGTTTGATTCCATCTCGCCTTTTCTCCGCGCTATGACTCACGTTCATCTGTCGCAGCGCTCAGAGCTGTCCTGCCCATGTGCTGCAGGGTGTGCCGCATCCACATGCCACAGACACATTCACAGAACACTCCCAGAAAACACTGAGCTGAGGTGTGTGAACCAAGTGCTCAGATGAGCTTTGCATTTTTGTCTGCAACATGACAATGCAATGGGAGACTTTAAGTGCAAGACTAAATTGTAATTGACTTGCTCTAATGTCTTATGGCAACTTTGGCAGCTGTAGCTTTTGTGCGCAGTGTGATGTGACCTGCAGAAGATCATTGATCATGTTTTCTGCAAATTACCTGTTGTGACAGCATCGCTGTGAGATATGTCGTTTTTTTATAGTCATATTTCATGTCATTCTAAAAAAAGAAATGAGCATTATCACTCCCACATGAGATACTGGAAGAAAATAAGTCGAGATCTCTCTGTGGAGACTTTTACTGTGCGGACCATGTCACACATCAGATTGCACGAGTAAATAAACTCTTTGAACACTAAACTGTCAGCTATCAGTTCATTTGCATCTGCAGGCGCAGGGTTTGAGACTGAATAAAATGGTGGAGCTGTTCACATGCAAATCTTATTCATTAAATTCCATTTTATGTAGTGTCAAATCACAACAGTTGCCCCAAAGGGCTTTACATTGTAAGGTAAAGACCCGACAGTAATACAGGGAAAACCCCAGTAATCAGATGACCCCCTATTAGCAAGTAGTTGGTGTCAGTGGGAAGGAAAAACTCCCTTTTAACAGGAAGAAGCCTCTGGCAGGCTCTGAGAGAGGCAGCCATCTGCTGTGACTGATTATGGTGAGGGTAGAGAGACAGGAGACACGTAAAACATGTCATTTCAATTTCAGAAACTGGGTAATGAACGTAAAAATTGATGTGAACCACATGGTTTCACAGAGATACTCACAGCACCATGCTTCACTGTGGGTCTAGCTCGCACACTTGCAGTCCCTGACTCATGAGTTGCAGATGACCCCAGGACCAACTCTACATTGTCTGTGAAAAAGAAAAAAGTAGATCATTAATATCCAGCAAAGCAAGTTCTGGTAGCAAAGCAAGTTCAATTGAATTGATTCAGCTATTAAATTACTAATCAAATCTCCATCATTAATCTGCCAGTCAAGGCCAAAACAATGATGTCGTACACTTGCAGTGTGCAGGTAATGAGATACTGTGTGCATCCAAGTGTCCTCTAAGTAGCTGTCAGTCAGCCTAATAATCTGCTGTGTGGCCGTTGGTTGTTGACAACAAAATAGCTACGCACAACTGAGCCGATGATTGCAGTCTTCATTTAAAGTCCACCATTGTGTTTAAGGGAAAACAGTTATGGTGCCAACTGAAATCCATTGCACCACCTTCTGCTTGCTGTACAACACCACAATGTTTATCATATAGCCAGACGTAAATAGTTTATCTGTCGCAAAGCCTGGAAGAATGAATTCAAGGTTTATTCTTGGGGGAACAAACTCGCTTTAACTGTGTTCACTCTTTGAGAGGAGCTTCATAACATGCAGCCAAATGTTGCTGCTTTTATGTTGCATAACCCTTTGTTCTTTAAACAAACAGTGCCACACAATGATCGTCCATTCTTAAGTCAAAGTGGTTAAGAGACCAGTCGCATTTGTCTTTCATGTCAGTGGAAAAGCCTGGTTTTTCTGTATGTATCTAAGTCACGGGATGACACAAGACACTCAATGATGACTTAAAAGTGCACCGAGGAAGAGACCCGAAACATGACCATAGTCATTTTCAGATGTGGAAGACAAGCAATAACATTCCTGGGAAACTGATGATTTGAGAACGTAAACCTAGAAGTCACACATTCCTTTGTTCCAGTATGACACTGACTGCTGAAAGACACTTGCCACTTGAAGATTCTTACTCTATGTGTTCATTTAGCTTTCTATTACAAAAGCAGATACAAGAAGCAGCGTGACAGAGGAGCCTGTCATAATAGACAAGGAAAGGGAACTGTTTTCCCACCTATTCCCAGTAGTCACAGGGTGTAGGTCCTCATAGCTTTTATGCACTTCTGTGTCATTTCAGAAAAATGTGGGAACTACAGAATGAATTGGCTGCAGTATTAAACCAGTCTAAGCAAATGATTCGTTTTTCTTATTGCGCCCCTTTCTGATTTAAATAGGCAAATGATCTCTCCTGTGTTGCAGCTTTGCATAGAAATTGCCCTCTCCTTTTCTGCTTTCACTAGTCAAATTCCACTAATGTCACTTAGAGCTTATCAGTAAACTGATATCAGTGTGTGAAAGTAATATTTTTATTATTAAGCTATTAACTTGTGTTTCCTTTTTTTAAGGCTTTAAACTGCATCACACACTCTTGCTCAGCAGATGGAGCTTGCCCAGCTGTTGTACTATGGAAATATGCTGTTATGCATTGTTGTGGCCAGAAGAGTGAATTTGTTTGTGTCAGGTAAATAAAAGTACCGGTAACAGATTTCTGTTTTCATCTATAACACCATGGATTGTATGTCTAAGAGTAGCTGACTCATATGAAATACACCCAAGGTACACATTTAGCTATTCTAGATGAAAACTTCAGTTTTGTCTGAGAAATCTTAACTTGGATCAAAGTGAACACAGTCTGAAGAGGACCCAGACTCTTGGATTTAAAATATGGATTTACTTTTGTTAAAAACACCGAACAAAATTCATAGATGACACCTGCTGCTACTTGTTTAAAGCACCTGAAGGATTCACTCCTGTCAGCACGTCTAAAGTTTGGAGCTTGGTGGAAACATATGTGTCCTATTGCAACACCAAGTCCAAAGGTCGTGCTGCTCTTCGCTGTAGGCGTAGATACCTGCTCTTATAAACAGACCGCACTAGACTCTACTCACCCATCTCCTGCATTTTGACATTGGTGTCGAAAAGAGAATGATTCTTTCGACCCAGAAAATTCAGCGACCCCTTCTTCATTGTTATTGATTAGTTGATGCGTAGCTACGATTCTCGGCTTCAGCGGATCATTGGCGCATTCTCGCCGGCAGGTAAATCCGGGATAAACCGCAAACGTGCTGCTCTGAATGACGGCGTTTCTCCAGGTACACCTGACTCCAGTGATTTGGTGCAAACTTCTCAGACAGACAGAGAAAATGGAGCAAACCCCGCCCACTCGCCTTTCATTGTGCCTCCCTGTTTCTGACTGTACAGCAGCAGCAGGTGAGGCCCTCGGCTCTCCTTACATTCCAGCGCAAACCTCACCTGTGGAAAGAATCAGGTCCTTTAATCACAGGTTTGCTTACGTTAATGGCCTGTACTCTCACTGTTTGATGAGTCTGCCATCCGCATCCGAGCTTTAGCGCACTGGTCTACCTGTATCTCTAAATCTGGGACGAAGTGATCACATTAAAATGCTCAGGAACGCGGGTGAACTTTAATAGCATCTTAATCAAAAAAGACAACAGGGGTTTATTGCATGTAGGTCACTGCTATTATGGTCATAAATGTAAACAAAGAGTAAAATAAAACAAAGCATGTGAACACGTCGAAACATTTTAGTATCCTATTTTATTTTATTTTATTTTTTGCTTATGCTTAAAAATTTGATCCAAGAAATGTATAAACCTAATAATGAGATTGTAAAGTGTGCTTGATTAAATCATTCAAAATGAATTAAAAGCCACAACATTAAATAAACGGGTTCTCTTTAAGGATGTAGACTAATACTGAAAGGGCTCCTTCTATCTCCCGGTGATTTTACATTTAATAGAGTACATTTTGCTGATTGCACTTGTCACGGTTCTGGGTCAGTTTCGACCCAGTATTTTGAGTTTTAATTGATTAATTTATTTTTTAATGTTTGTTGTGGTTTTAGGCGCTATGAGTATTATTATTATAATGATTATTATTATTAGAATTCTATGTTTCTGTTTATTCATGTTTAAGGATTTGTTCTCGGTTGTATCTCACGTTTAGTTTAGTTCAAGTTCCATGTGTCATTCTGTCTGTCTGTCTGTCTGTCAGGTCTGCGTCTTGGTGTAGTGTTCTCGTTTCCTGTTTTATTGTGAAGGCCTGCGTCTCATGTGAGTGTGTTCAGTTTTACCTCTGTCTGGTCTTGTTGATTATTCCCAGCTGTGTCCACCACCTGTGTGTGATTCCCCTGTGTTTCTCTGTGTGTATTTAAGTCGTGTCCTCTGTCCTTGTAGTTGCTGGTCCGTCTGTGTGTTCCCTGCCGTCACCATCTTGTACCGGCGTCCACCTTGCTTCAGCTTCAGCTCCAGCTCCATGCTCCATGCTCCATGCTCTGTAGTTTAGTTGTCCCAGTATAGTTTAGTTCTCCGTTTTGTCGTTTGCCTCTCTATATTTTTGTGTCAATAAATCACCTTCAGACCTTCACGACTGCCTGCGCTTGGATCCTCTTTTTCCTTTTTTTTTCACACGGCTCTTCTCACTCGCTGTGACAGCACTTTTGCTTGAGTACCATTTCACCTGCAACGGGGTATTTTATAGTGTGCTGTTGCTGCTTTTATGTACATGATTAATTATTTCCCTATCTGTGTGTCTTGCATGTGCACCTAAAACAATTGTTATGACATATGAATATAGTTTAAAGTCTGAAAAATAAAATAAAACCAATTATCAAAGTAAAACCATTGTTTATGGTAACCTTCCTTTTTAGATCAAAAATTCTAGAAGAGCAGCTATTAAAAAGTTAGGCCTAACTGACTGTTTACAAAGGAATGGTTTATTTGAAGAGTTTCACAGAAACGGCACTAGTGAAGGTTACAAGTGATCTTTTTACATCCTTTTATAATGGACTCATCTCTGTGCTTGCCCTGGTAGATCTCAGTGCAGTGTTCAGTACCAGTACTGACCATAAAACGCTACTACTGAGATTAGAACACACACTTGGTATTAAAGGAACTGCGCTGCAGTGGCCTGAATTTAATCTGGCTGATAGATAACTATATACGTTTTCATGGCTATGCAGATGATATCCAGCTTTATCTATGCATGAAGTTTCGTCTTGATGCATTCTCAATCATCCGGGAAAGTAAATCTCCAAAAAAGTTGATTCTGTTCATCTGGACGTAGTGTTTTGTGGGAGAAACGTTTTGTCACTCATCCAAGTGACTTCTTCAGTCTCAGCTGACTGCAGGTTTCCCCAATCTTATAAACAGTACAATTGCATAATGACTGAAACCAGCCAACTGAAGGAACAATGGGCTGGATGGTCAGTTCTATAATCTTAATTATGCAAATTCTCATGACCATTGATCAACAACCACTGACCAAAGACCACTGATCCATGGCCATGAGATGAAACGTTTGTCCCACAAAACGCTACGTCCAGATGAACAGAATCAACTTTTTGGAGATATGCATGAAGTTGATACACGTCAACTAATTAAACTTCAGGCCTGTCTTGAAAACACAAAAACCTTGATAGCCTATAATTTCTTGCTTCTAAATTTAAACAAAATTGAGGTCGCTGTACTCTGCCTTACTTTAAAAAATATTACCTTTGCCTTCAATACCACTGTGAGGAATCTTGGAGTAATTTATGACCAGGATATTTGGTTCAGTGAGCACATTATACAAATATGTAGAACTGCCTTCATTCTTTTGCGCAATATGTCTAAAATTAGAAACATCCTGTCTCAGAGTGATGCTGAAAAACTAGTTTATGTATTTATTACTGGTAGGCTGCACAATTGTTGATTATTCTCCCATATTGACTTAACTTCACTACTGGATTTCTCTTACATTCAGAATCAAATTTAGAATCCTTGTCTTCAGATACAAATTCTTGAATGATCAGGCGCCATCATATCTTAAAGACCTCACAGTAGCTTATTATCCTCTGGCTGTCCCTCTCTGATCCTGGTAAAAGGGTTTTTTTTCTCCCCACTGTCACCAAGTGCTTGCTCATAGGGGCTTGTCTAATTGCTCTGTTAGCAGGGGTGTCAAAATCATTTTACATTGTAGGCCACATACAGCACATGATGATCTCATGTGAGCCGGACCAGTGAAACTCCTCTTTCTGCCAGTGTACAGAAATTTAAGCAGATATCCCTAAGATATCTTAAAATTAAAAAGAAGTCCTATTTCAATAGTATCTCTTCCTTTTTCCTTCCTTCCATTTTTTTTCAAGATTCAAAGATTCAAAGTGTTTATTGTCATGTGTGCAGAAGAAATAGCATTTCTCTGTGCAATGAAATTCTTTCTTTGTTGTCCATACACAAATGCCAAGTTAGGTAGGGTTGAAGGAACAACATAAATAAGGATAAAAAAAATAAGACAAGATATTAAGATAAATAAGGTAAAAAAGGATAAAAAAAATAGTGAAAGATGAATAAGTAAATGAAGACAAGTGAGTTAAGCAGTTGTTAATGTCAAAGGATATACAAAGGAGCTTAATGTGCAAAGTGAACTTAGTGTGCAAATTGTCCTGATGTGCAAATTGCAGTTGAGGTAGGTCAGCTGTTCAGGAGTCTGATAGCAGTTGGGAAGAAGGAGTAAATAAAATAAATCCGTCAGCACAACGTTTTGGACTTAAATTGTAAGAATAACTTTTACTACATAAATAAAACCAAACTGCACTGAACTGAAATCATAAAAAAAAATTTCTTCATTCCTGTTTCAGTCACATTGGTGATCCAGTCAGAGAGTGACTGAAGAAAGACATTTGTCACTTAAAGATTCTTACTCTATGTGTTCATTCAGCTTTCTGTTAGACAAGCTGAGACAGGAACCAGAGTGACAGACGAGCCTGCCATAAAAAACAAGGAAAGAAAAACATATTTCCATCACAAGGTATAGGCATCATAATGTCCTCATAGTTTCCACTTTGAAGCAAAAATGTGTCACATGTGATTTACAGGTAGACCTAAAATACATTTCTGACATAGAAATATAAAACAAACATTATTAAAGAACAACATAAATCACAGTAATTGAAGTTTTAAAAATGCTATGGTGTGTGGAAGCTAAAATAAAGTCTAATATAGATAAAGCAAAGATATAATGGCACTATAACGTGTTGTAAAAGTAATCAACTCTTTCTCTCCATTAATGTATGCAAGGTGCTTGAACAAAACAAATCACAGGAGTTATATTCAACCCTCTGGATAATTGTTCAGTTAGCTATTAGCTCACGTTGGAACATTACATTTGTGTGATAAATGCATGTTTTTAATCTTAAATAAATCTTTGATATTACTGAAGGAAAACCTTCATTCCTTGGTGTGACTTTCTTGAGGATAGTGAAGGATGAGAAACGTGGAAGCAGGATACTCATAAATTTGATTTTGGCTAAAAGGGGTCAAAAGTCTTAAACAGATGAGCCGAGCTAACCCCTTAAAGTAACCCTGTAACAGCATTTTATCTACTCTGCATCAACAGTTTAACAACAATTTGGGGTTGATTACAGCTGGTAGCAGAGTAATAATTTGTAGAAGTATGTTTCCTTTACACTGATATTCAGTTTTATAAAACACTTTATACTTTTTACTTTGTATTTCATAACATTTTAGAAGGATTTAATTTGTGGTGCTCATATAGTCAATTCAAAGCTGCAGTTACTGTGTGTTATTAATATACTGTGTTATCAGTATATTAATAATGTACTTGATTGGTCTAAAGTGCATTATAGTAAACTCACTCCAGTAAGCTTAAAAATGGAGAAATTATAATGAGTAAACATAAAATTCTTGATAAAAAATATTCTGATTTTCTGACAATAGTGTTGAGATAAAGTTTAGGCCTTCAATTTGACCGAGCATTACAATAACTAAGTACATGATGTGGTTTAAAATTGACATTTTATTTTCATGTCATCCAGCAACAGACACAGTTAGATACATTAATTTTTGGACAATGATACATTTTTCTGTGCACCACCACAGTGGATTTTAGACCAGATAATCAATATCTAATTGGAGTGCCGACTTTCAGCTTTAATTCAGTGGGTTTAAATTTCTGAGTTAACTATTGGAGATACATCGTTCTCAGAAGTACTCAGACAATTAAGTGATAAACTGTTTCAAGGTCAAGTAAAGCCTGCTTACTTGTTATTTCAAACTAACTAATCAGATAAAAGATCTGGAGTTGATTTCAGGTCTTG